GTCATCCTCACAACCTGTATCAAATTTTGCCAGTCAGCAACATTTTCAGTCCAGATTTGGTGGTGGTTTCAAACCTTTTCTCTCCTGTCTTGGTTATTTTCTCTTCCACCTTCTATCCCCAGTGTATCTTTGGTGAACAAGGCAGTGGTGGACTACTTCTTTGTGGAATTGGGGGTGGAAAGACACTTTGAAGCACTGCGACACTTCCTGCTGATGGAGGATGGCGAGTTCGCCCAGTCCCTCAGCGATCTACTCTTTGAAAAGGTGAAGCTCTTCAAGAAGTGTTGTTGTCATGTGTATGCACAATTAAAATAGGGCGATTTATGGTATTCTTTTTAAATTTGTTGGATTACAGGACAGGGCACAAGAGGACATCTTTGAAAAAGACCGAACGTCCTGGTGTCACTTTGAAAAAAGGGATTGGTATTGTGTACAGACAAACCTGTTGCTGTAAGCTGCTCTAATCAAAGTTGTTTTATATTAATAACGTATTAAATCGCTGTGTAATGTAAAAGGGTTGCTTGTTGTGACAAACCCACAGTGGATTATCGCCCGATCCTGCAGTTCCCTTAAACCTAATGGAGCTTTTCACTACCTAACTCATTGTTTTGGTTTACGACCCACAACTTTACTGTTTTGGTTCATTCTTCCCGCTCTCAGCAGCATCATTTTCAGCAAAAAAAAAAACTCTATAAACCAACCAAACCCTACCTGCCAAATGCACACAGTAAGTTAACAGCTAGCTGGTGAATAGAGAGGAGTATTAATGTGCTAAGTAACCATATTTCCCATAAGATTTGATGAAGAAGATGGAGCTAAAAGAAGAGTCAGTATTGGACTTACTGCTCCATGTGACAGCAGTGGACACAAACAGACTCCATAAGACAGACAGGCTTTGAACATCAATCATGCTTAAACATGTAGTACTTGAGCTTTTGGCCACTTGGGGGCAGCAGAAACAAGTTGTGAACATTGACATATCATCTTTTAAGTTGATCTGGTGAACCTGTTAGCAAACATTTGATTATTTACACACCAAGCACTTGTAGAGCAACATTATCATTTATTTTGAGTCCCATTTCTGGCCTCCTGATGAAGTCCAATATTCACTCTCTTTTAGCTCGGATTTTGGTCTCTACCAACTACTGAAGGGAATATCCTGCTCTTTAGCTGCTCAATGCTCCACAGTGTTCACCAGCTAGCTGTTAACTTTATGTGTCTGCAATATAGTGCTAGGGAAGTGGGTTTTTTGACAAAAAACAGCTGCCTGCTGCGACCAAAAACAACATTGTGAGAGTGAACCAGAACACTGTTGTGGCCACACAGCTAAACAATGTGCTGAGATTCATTATAAACCTCTGTCAAGCCGAGGAAAGCTGCAGATTCAGGTGATTTTCCCAAGGTTCGTCACTTGAGCAGCTCTGTTCATTATCACATTATTTTCACAATTTTACCCATTTTTGTTATAAAAACCGGCCTGTTATGCAGCACATGATGCATCACTTCCAGATTTCTAGACTGCTTATGTCAAGCCCAAGCTTCCTGGCGTGAAATGACAAACACAGCCTGTGCTAACACCTTGGTTGTGTTCTGCAGAAAGATTCATGTACATCTGTCTCTCGAGGCACATGAGCCAGAAGGTTTTTGTCCCAGCCAAACACTCCACCAGCTGATTTCACTGATTAGCACACCTTCAACTGGAAAGCAAGCTAATCACTGTAATCAGTTACCCGTGGGGTTTGTTTGGAATAAAAACTTTGACAGCGCAACAAGTGTGAAGGTATGAGTAGTTATCCGTGTTTGACCTTTGCGTATTCATTTAACCGATGTCTCCTCCACCCAGCTGGGCAGTGGCCAGACTCCCGGCGAACTGCTGACCCCCCTGGTGCTGAACTCCATCCTCAGCAAGGCCCTGCAGTACAGCTTACACGGGGACACCCCCTTAGCCGGCAACTTCACCTTCGCCCTGCGCTTCCTCCCGGAGACCTTCCACCCACACGCCCCCGATTCTCTCAACTGTCTGGAGCTACGCTACAAGGTGAGGCAGTGTGAGTGAGTAACAGTGAGTACGCTAGCATGGGTGTGCTTGTCTCAGCGTGAGTGGCAGCTTGAATGTGACAACCTGTCATGTTTTGACAAACTGCTTTGGGTGTGGAAAATTAGCTTATCACGCACATAAATGGTTGAACCTCATAGATTGATTGGAGTTGGGTCTTTTGGATGACATGCACGGTGACTAATGTTGCACATATTGTCCTCTGCTCTTGTTCTTCGTTCTTCACCCTGTTATCTCTCCCATGACTGTTTCCTCTCCTGCTGATCCTCCCTCCCTCTCTTTATCTCTTGCTTCACATATTTTGCTTCGCTTTCTCTCTCCCTGTATATCTTTCCCCCCCATTCCTCTTCCGCTTCTACCCCCCCCATCTCTCACTCTGTCTTCCCTTCACAATCCTCTCACCTCCTTTATCAACGTCTCTGCGCTCACACCTTTCCCCTCCCCTCGCCTCATCTGTCACTTTCCTCTACATGTTTTTCCCTACTTTCATTCCACTTTCCTTTGCTTTCTTTCACACTCACTCTCACACCTTCACACACTTTTCTTCCGTCCCTCTGTCTTTTTCATCCTGTCATCTCCCAGGTGGACTGGCCGTTGAACATCATCATCACGGACAGCTGCATGAACAAGTACAATCGTCTGTTCTCGTTCCTGTTGCAGCTCAAACACATGGTGTGGAGCCTCCGCGAGGTCTGGTTCCACCTCAAGAGAACGGGTGAGAGGGTGGGAGCTTTTGATTCAGGTCCAGCTCAGACTCCACCTTACCTCTGAGAAGGGAGAGTTACAATTCTTCATGTTGCGCTTCAACTGTTTATAAAATATTCATTGAGGAGAACGCTGCAATTCCTTTATGTTTTATTTATACAAAGCACATCTCATACCAATGGGATTGTTGTAAAACAGTATGCTTCACTGGGTTAGATAGTATTGATCAGTCAAAGCCTGTGTACAGACTACATAAATGGATATCCTGAAGAAAAAAAAAAAGCAATTGAGATATTAGATGGATGTAAACTTCAGTAATTATAACATGAATATTACTTATCACCAGGGGAAAATGTGGATCATTATTTAATACCCGAGTGCATTTTCGATCACAAGGGAAGACTGACATGACAACACATGAAAATGTGATAACAATTAACCACGGTCTGTTTGTATCGTAAGCTATAATCATCAATTATTTTCATTACTAGTTAATGTGCATCTTTAGTAAAATAAAGATGAATCACTGTCAAAAGTTCCCAGATCACAAACTAACTCAAATTGCTGACCAATGGGACAGAAAGAGCACAAGGACATTGATTTTACTGTGATAGGAGTCTACAAGTCTGTAACCAGCAAGTGTTTATTTTCAGTCCCTGCAGCACTGATCATGACTTGTTCCCGCCTCTGTTCCCCTCAGCGCTGGTGAAAGGTGCCGGTCGCTCGGTGCAGTTTCATCAGCTGCAGCTATACAGACATGAGATGCAGCATTTTGTCAAGGTGATACAGGGATACATCGCGAACCAGATCCTGCAAGTGTCCTGGAGCGAGTTCACAGCCAAGCTGGCCACTGCCAGTGACCTGGACGCCATCCACCGCACACATGCAGACTATCTCAACAGAGCCATCTTCAGGTGAGGGCTGGAACTGCATGTGTGCATTTTACAGTATTTATTGCATTATAATAATTACATTTTAATAAAATCAGTCAATCCCTGCGCTTAACATTATGCACAAAACAGGTGATCTATGATATTTCACCTCAATTTATTGCATTGCGAGAGACAATGTTTTGCCCATAACCCAAAGATATTGATTTTACTATAATGTAAAAACCAGAATGCTTACATTGTAGGAGGTGGAACCATAAAATGTCGGCCTTTGAGTCTCAAAATGTATCTTTTCTTTTGATCGACTAACTCAGTTGACTAATAGTTGCTGCTTTAGACCAACTGATAAATCAAAAAAAATAATAATTGCAGCCCTACTGAGTACAACTTATTGGGAGCCCAGACCCTTCACATACAGAAGGACTATGTGTTGTTAAAGGTGTTGTGCTGTCCATATTACAGTTTGCAACACGTGTAAGTGCAAGTGTAATTTTAACCGTCAGGATTTTAGGCAAGAGTGAAATGGTTTCTTCAGACTCTGTACAGGCACAGCAAGTGGAACACTCTGCACCCATAATTTCATACAAAATTAATTCACCCTCCTCGTTGCACGTTAATTAAAATTCCAGCAGGATCTGACGCTAACTTTTGAACCCGTTGAATGATTTAATCTCATTAGGAGAGGTTGTCAGTATCACACTTCTCTGTGTATAATTTGAGCCCATCTGAAAAGTCATTTCAAAGTTCCTTGTCATGTTTCTTAAACTTTGCACTCTCCTGTCACTCGCCTCCCCAGGGGTTTGCTGACAGAGAAAGCAGCTCCGGTCATGAACATCATCCACAGCATCTTCAGCCTGATCCTCAAGTTTCGGGCCCAGCTGATCGCACAGCCCTGGGAGAGCCAGCAGGGGGAGGCAGTGCACCCCAGCTTCATTGCCATGCAGCAGTCGTACAACACCTTCAAGTATTACTCTCACTTCCTTTTCAAAGGTAAGGACAGAATATTGTTTCAGGTCTGATTTCATGAAAATGTACCATGTTTATTTGCATTCAATAATTAAAAAGTAACTTGAACTGTATTTAGGTATAGCACTTTCTAAAACTGTGTCTTTTTTTCTTCTCTCAGTGGTGACCAAGCTGGTAAACAGAGGCTACCAGCCTCACCTGGAGGATTTCCTCCTGCGTATTAACTTCAACAACTACTACAAGGACTCCTGAGCTGAGCTTATCCAATGCAACATTGTCCACCATGAGTGTTTACATCTTTAGAATCCCCTATATGTGTTTATAAGACAGAAGACAGATAATTAGACATGTATGACAAATTACAAAATACAACCATTTACACCTGTACTGTATACCAGGGAATGGATTTGAATTTATGTGCTTGATGAATGGCTTTACTCCTAAATTGCCTGCTGCCAAAGTTTTTAATTGAGATAAAGCCGATGCCTTCTGTAATGCCTCCCATGCTCAGGTGTGCCTCCAGCTGTGTAGATTTTAAGTGCATATAAATTAAATGTCATTATATGTAAATAGAAAAGCAAAATGCTTTGTTTAATAAATGCTCTATTCTCTGCTGTGGATCTTGAAGTTATTTTGTGATGTAAGGAAAAAAACAGTTGAGTGAAAAAAAAAACTTGTATTTATTAAAGATTGCATGTTAACATTGGGTTTAGAAAACTAGGACAAATTAAGTGCAAAGCCTTATGGGTAGCAAATTCTGTCAACTCCAGCCAGTTACACAAAGACAGAAGGAGAAGGAGAAAATGCAGTCCTCGCAACTACACGGGTACCCAGATTTTTTCCTGACAGAGCATTACTTACAAAGCACAAATGTATGAAGCACAGCTGTAATAAGTGCAATGGGCTACAGCAGGCCACATACAGTAAGAGGATTTGCTTTCTTGACTGGATGGTAAAGTTGGAGAAATACTTATCTCCTACTGAACCGTCAAGCAGAGGAACAACAGGCACAAGTTTGTGTAGGTTATCAAAAAAAAATCTCAAGACTTTTGTTCATGGATGCACTAAGCACGTTTGTATACATTGCTGTAGTTTTATTAATGGTATGACTGAAGCATCTCAACCAGCACCCAAAGGTTACAAGTCCATTGGATGGACAGAAGTTTCTTTACAGCGAGAGAGGACCTGATGACACACATTTACATCAGGCAACAAAAAGAGAAATGGTTAATCGTTATGACTTAAAAGCAAAAGTTTGACATTTAGGGAAATGCACGTATTTGCCTAGTGGCGTTAGCTAGAGTTAATGCTAGTTGACAAGATCATTATCACTCATTCTTGTTTCTTAAATATAAGGCTACAGCCAGCAGTAGGTTAGCTTAGGAAGAAGACTGGAAAAAAACCTGGCACTATCAAGTGGTAACAATCCACCTACCAGTACCTCTAAAGCTCACACGTTATATATGGCGTCCTCAAAGTGTGAAAACTAATTGTATGGATGAAACAAAGTGTTAATTAGTGACATTTAGAGTTGCCGTTAGAACACTCTGCAGAGCCAGGCTAGTTGTTTCCACTCACTGGGCTAAGCTAACCTACTGCTGGCTGTAGTATTTAACGGACGGATGAGAGTGGTACATTCTTCTCATCTAACGTAACGCTCCTCCAGACAGCGAATAGGTGCATTTATTGCATTAAAATGAACAGTGAACATGAACAAGCAATCAAACATAATCATAAGTAATTACCATCAGAGCAGGCAGTCCTTAATGAAATATCCCCAGTTTATCCTTGTTTAACACGTTTCTGCCAAGAGCTCTGATGTAGAGTAGAAAAAGCAAGCAGACAAGCAAATGCACTGGTCAACACAATGTAACTTTCACGATCAACGTCAAGTCAGTGGTTTTGACCTCATCTGTAATACAGAGTACAAAATGTCACATTCACACAGTGCACCATGGGCTTCCAATGTCCACTGAGATTAGTGTTAGCTCAAATGGACTGAAATGGTACAAAAACCGCACTGGGATCCAGAGGGAAGGCAGAATTTCACGGGTCAATCGCTTTCCCTTCAGTTTTTCTGATCTGATTAGTATTCAATATGTATAAGCAAAGAGCAAATTGCTTTTCAATGAGTACATAATACTCCACTGGTCTGCCTACATGCGTTACTGTTACATTTCAGTGATTTTTTTAGTATTACAGCTTAGTGCTCAGTGTAGAGGTTTTAATCTTATGTGAAGGGACTGAGCGAGAATGGCATTATTATTTAATCATGCACTGCATCAGTCCTAGCATATTGAATCTGAAAGCTTGCAGCCAACTCTGGTTAAACATCATATAACCACTCGGACAGTTCATATTTACATAGGCTTTCAGGAAACGGAGCGTAGCACACTTTTTAATTTTACTGAAGTATATTTGGGCTGCTCCAGGAGAACCTTGCATACAGTACGGATCCTCTTAAGACTTGTACAGGTAGTGATAATGATGTAAAATGTAACGTTAATTCAGTTTAGCAGGAATGCTTAAGATAGTCACGATGCCATGTTTGTGTAACCGCATAGTGGCAAGAGTGCAGAAAGAACAAAAACATCACTCTTCCAATTGTGTCTACTCCTGCAAGAGTCATATGCTCACACTGTAATAGGAACTGATGTGATTTTTGTCTTAAGATCCTTCAAATTGATCAATTAGTGCATTCTGTAGCCATCGAGCATTATTAAACAGATATTAACCTTGGAAGTGCAACTTTTTTTTTTGTACATGAATAAACAGGAAATAAACGTAGTACATAAGAGCCTTAGATCAAAGTTAACATGTAAAACAATAAAAAGGAATGAACTCTCCAAACCGACTTCAAACTATGTAAACCTAAAAATGGATGTAAACCTAAACTGACGCAAATGATTCACCAATTTCTATTAGATTGCTGGGGGTATGAGAAGACAATGAAACACAATCAAGGCTTATATAGCGTCCCTTTTCGTGAAAGTACCACCAACAGCGATGTAAAAACGATTCCAAATCCGAGGACCCATGCTACAGTCTGCCCGCAGAAAAGCAGATCTGATGGAGCGCCCATGAGATGTGCTTTTTGGTCAAGGCGACCCCCTCAACAACGTCTTCTGCTTTCTTTACAGCAATAAACTGGAGAACTAGTAACAAGGTAAATGAAAGTGAACTACACTCTCTAATATTGGTCTTACAGTACCGGAGTTAGGGCTACGGGGGGGGGGGGG